GTAAACAAAGTCAGAGAGGAAAAAAAAACGAATCTCGGTGTTTATTTTCACTACCATCAGTTGTTTGACGTTGTTAACCGAAGCTTCCGAATGATTCTCTCTCGTTATTTCACAAGTAAATATTGTTTTTGGGCAAGTTTTGCTGTTGCTCATTGTTGATTTTGTTTATTGTAATGTCGACGGCGTTTTTTTTATGTTCATGTTCATTTTATGCGTAATCAATTGAATACCTGCCGCTTGCACATACTTTGTTTACATTCAATTCAGTGCCTCTGTCACACGATCCTTTTTTTTTGTAAAAAATAAGTTTGTGTGTTGACTCTCCGGAGCTCATTGTCAAAAGAAAACATCAATTGATTATTCTCACGGTGGCGCACAAATTTCAGCGTGAATTGAATAACTTTTTTACCAAATCCCAAATAAAAATTCTTCATTTCATTCGTCAAAGGTCTTTGATTGCTTCCTTTTCCGATTAAAAGAAAAACGCTCATCGAGTCACGCACACGCTTCAATCCAAAGATATGCAATGCATACCAGAAAATTAAGCCAGATGGAACAACTTGTTGCGCACAAATCCAGTCATTATCACACTTCCCTTTTTCCCCCCATATTCTCAATGTGCAACTCACATTCTTTATCACACCAAATGTCTATTTTTAGTGAATAAAATGCTGTAAATAACAAGTTTAACTTGAAGAACATTAGTCGCGCGCATCAACAACAATACAATTCGATTTGTGCCCCAGCACACAGATAAAAACGCATCGAAAATCATGGAACAGTTCATTTGCCGTCGAATGAGGAAATGAAATCCATTACATTTTTTTCTGTTGCTGTTTATAGCGTGGTGTGGCGATTATGATTGCATAAGTTGGCAGTTGTACGCAGTTCAATGTCTATATATGGTCAGCCGAACTTTTCGAATCGGACAATGCATTTGCACTTGAGCCGCAGCGTAGCATTTTTTTTAAACAGTTTTCCATCTCGCTATTGACCGCTCTTTTTTCGCTTCTTGCTCGCTCCCTCGCTCAATCACTCGCTCTTCTTCTCTCGTTCTTCACTCACTCTCTTTGCGCGAGCGCAGCATCAAAAAATGGACAGAACAAAACAAAAATACGATTACACGGTCAATGAATTTGGGTATGGAAATTGTTTTGTCCGAGATGCGATCCATGCATTTATTGTAGGCACATGAACTTGATTCGGTCAGATTCATGACACCAGATGAATTTCATGCAGTTGGACGGCTTTCCCACTCTCTCTCTCTCTCTCTCTGTCTCTGCAAATCGCAACACATAACGCACGCTTCGTATCACCACAATTATCAGCTGTCGCTGTTCAACCGCATATATGTGATACGGTATATGGTGTAGCTTGCGACTCACAAATAGAGACTAGAGGTAGGAAAACAGCCTGGGAGAGCGAGACAAGACTCTCTGAAAGGGAAAGAGGTTGAGAGATGATGAAAAGGAGGAAATATTTCATTGTTTTTCTATCTATTTTGGAATGGAAGACAAAAACCGAGATAGATATAGTGAGGACTAGAAATGAGACAGAGCTAGTGAGATTCACAAGTGCGTGAATGAAGAGATTAAAAACGGAACGAAAGAAAAAAAAAACAAACTGCAGAGAGTGAAAGAGAAAGGGGAAAAGCGAAAATCGCGAGAATCGAAAAGAGTGAAAGAGAGAATTAAAGCTTGTATTTATGTACTTGGAAGGCAAACCCCAGTTATGACGATCGAGTGCAAACGGTCGTTAGCGATTAGTTGGTTGGTGTTTCTTTTAAATGATTTGCTCTAAATAGATTACGGCCAATTGTTTGATAATGGCTTTTGTTTTTGTTTTTTTTTTTTTCCTCATTTCACAATAGACACGCATTTTAATGCGAGCAGTGTGTGTGTATGTGAATGCTTTTTGAGCGTATGCTTCGTACTCGCAAGTTGGATATCAATGTTCAAATGCCATATGTTTGTCGCGTTTCATCCGTGAATAAATGCGATCTTGCAACGCTTTGAATAGTATAGTTTATAAATATCATACTTGCAGTAAACAAAGCAAAGCGACAAAAACAAAGTCATATGGTTGATAAGCTTCGAGCAAAGTGTGTGTATGGAAGAGAACGATCGAAACGACAAAAATGAAGAAAAAAAATTGCGACAAGAAAGAAGAAAGGAGAAACAACAGCAAACATCGTACACACGGTCGAAAAAGGGAGCGATAGAAACAATAAAACGGCAATTCAAAACATTTGTGCACATTTTTGTTAGTGTACACAATTTGACTTGATATTCCTCTCGGTGTTGCCTATTTAAAGTTCAACTATCTCAGATAAGCGAAACCATTTGAAATAGCATCAAAAACAGAAACAGAAACAAAAACAAAAACAAACAAACGCGCGCAAACACGCACACAAAATCACGTACGTGCGCGCTCATCGCGTAACGATCATAAGTGCATAGTGAATTTGATCGTTACAAAAGTGTACACTAGACAAAATGGTGTTGTGATTTGGCAAGGCGTATTTTTTTTTCTGCTTGCGATCTGAACTCACTCAATTGGGTCGAAATTGGGTTGAAAATTGTTACCATGTTGCACATTGCACATCAGCCACTTATTGATAACAGATTGAAGGGAGTGCAAGCGACATAGAGGATCGCATATGTGTGTGAGAAGCTTGCAACAAATGACCATTGATCGTTACAGTTAATCCAAGCCAAAATTCATGGTTCGTTTTACGAAACGAAATTGAATCGGCCATTCGTCTACCGGTGTAAAAGTTACTGTTTTCGCTCTGTCTCCCTTTGTGTTTCGCGCACAAACGCAAAAATGCACTTGAAAATGCGAACGAACCGAACCAAGTGAGAGAGAGAGAGAGCAAGCGAGCGAATAACAATAGTCGAGGCAGAAAAACATACAACGAACGAGAGCGAAACGAAACGAAGAAAAAAAGAGTATATATAACAAATTCTATATAGAGAAATGAGAGCCATTGACCAAGCAAATTGGTTATTTGTCAACAACATTCACATGCATAATTGATTTAAGTGGTTTTAATTTATTTTTAGTTCTCGGTGAATTTTATTCATTTTTTTCTATCTCTCTCTCTCTCTCTCGCTCTACTGTCGCTTCGACTGCTACTGCGGCGGCTGCTGCTGCTGCTGCGTGTGTCTGTTCAGTACTCGCTGCTCATCAGCTCAAGAGCGAACCAATGAACGGTTCTCTTTTTTTTCATTCGTTCATTCGTTTGTAAGAAAACCTTGCGCAATTTCTGTGCTGTGCTGTGTGTTACACAAATCGGCTCAGGCCTCGGCGCGTTGTGATATCCGTTAAATTAAAAAATCAATTATCATAAATTGAAATGTCGACTGGACGCGGTCGCTGACAATCCACGGTAAATTGCCGCACTGAATGTGCAATTTTTTTTTGTTTAGTTCGTTTTTCCGACACAAACGAAGAGAGAGAGAGAGCGGAAGAGAAACACATCATTTTAATGTTGTGTCACAGTTGAAACTGTTTCATTTCGATGCTGCTTTCAATGTGTTTTTCAACGATTTTGTGAATTTCATCAAGAGAGAATGAGGGAGAGAGAGAGAGAGCAATAGATCGGAGAGGGAGATAGAAAATCGGCCAATTCTATAGAAAAACCAACCAAACGTCGATCGAGAGCCAAGAGAACGATGCTCATTTTGAATGTAGATTAATAGCGTTGATTTGCGCATAATTACCGACCGTTTCCATCAGATTACACATTTCATTTTGGTCGAACTACTTCGAAAAGGTTCATTTTTGTTGTTGTTGTTGCTTCAAGTCGAACTACTCGGAAAATCAAATGAAAACAGAGCGAGAGGAGGCGAGTGAGAGTGCAAGAGTGCGAGTGAGAGGAGGGAGGAGGCAAATGGGAGAGCGTTCGAAGAAAAAAATGGTTCAATATATCCCACATTTCAAGCATTTTAATTACGGAAAATTGGTCAACACGCATTCGAAATGCTAGAACAACAAATCATAAATCATCATCACCAACGCCACTGCCACTGCCACTGCCGCACACACATATTATCGGACCGCTGAAAAAGAGCCATTACATGAAACTGCTTTCTACTTTTGGATTCGTTCACGTTTCTCTTTCCGCACTATCAACATTTGTACGAACAAAAACATCAACATTACACATCACAGCACATACACCCATCTCATATAAATATTTAATCACACACTAGATTTAAAAATAACGATACGATATCAATTTTTTTTTTTTTGAAATTTAAGTATACGCGACAAAAAGAGAGGATGAAAAAATTCAAGAAGAGACGAATATGTGGAAACGTGGAAAGACTTTTTGAAGCACGTGCGACCAAACGATGCAAATGAAGAGCTTCTTGGAAGTGACCGAAACTGTCTTCATTAATTTTCTTCATGTAATAGTGAATATTTGAGATTCGAAATTAAATTTTTGTAGAAAAAAAAACTCTTCAGACGAATCAGATCGAAAATCATGGGAAAACTTGATGAAAGTGACGAAAATTGAAAAAATGCTGAAAAAAAAACAACAACAGATGAATGATAAAATGAGGTTTTGATGAAGAATGAGATTTGAATTATTGTGAACTTCGTCAGTGTCGTTCGAAATCAAAATAGATTTATTTTAAAATCCAAATAGATGGCATAGATTCAAATCTCATCTTATCTAGATACCAAGTCCAAAATGTCACATCCAAGCTTCAAGTTCCACTGCAAATCGTATGCATCGTGTTGCAAAAGGTCTCTCTTCGCCTTGCATCTAATTCCACAACATCCCGTTGATTGGTGTTCTTTTCCGCTACGCAAATGCTAGAATGCAAGTTGCATCAGATGTTAGATCCCTCTTTCTGTCTCGCTATAATTTTAGTCACTCTCTCTCTGTGTGTATTTTTTTTCGCTAAACCTATTCTAGTATTTTTCATTTGTGTATTTTTTTCTCTCTTCTCTTTTCATTCTCTTTCTTTTCGGGCGATATGTTGCAGAGTGCGTCAAATGCAAGCGAATGAAGTATTACAATTTACAGTCATAAAAAGCATAAATTATTTGACCAGTTGGTGTATGCATCAAAGCAAAACAACCTAACGAACACTGCAAAAGCGCAACAAGCATAATTTTTGTGTTTTCTAAATGCGAAAACGGAATTAAATTGAGCAACAGAAGAAGAAGAAGAAGAAAAAAAAACAAGCCGAAGAAGCCGGCCAACGAACTAAACGCAAGTTTATAAAAATTCGTGTGCATCGATTTTTGTCATCGTTTTTTTTTTAAATTGTGTAAACGGGATTGTATTCTGTTGCGGGCTGGTGTGTTACTTTGGACACTTTGTTTTGGGGACAAAGCAAATACCAAGCGAATATAACGCAATCGCCAAATCGATTTGACAGACGGACAACGACGCTCTGAATTTTCGGGGACCGAGAAGACGATATCGAAGCAGCGATAGACAACAAGAAATATCCATCCGAAGTATCAGTATTGAGCTGTCCATTTTGGACTCATTAGACTGAACTCGATTTTTTTGGTCAGGAAACACAACGCGGGCACAAAAAACTGTGATACCATTCACCTACCCGATAAGCGATCTATATATTGTGATAGAGACTCTTGTTTTTGCTCTCACTCACTCCATTGACCGTTCGTCTCAAGGCGCGCTGTGAATTGTTTACCGTTCAATTGCTGAGAGTTTTTTTTTCCAAAACCGTTTTTCATCGGCGACAGAAGTCATTGTGATTACTTCTTAAATGTTTTCAATTGTCGAGTGCTACACCGAAATGGGACACATTATCGGCCAAGATGTAAGTGTTTTTCAAGAACAAAAAAAGAATTATAAGTCTTGCTATTTTATGTTTTAATTCCATAGATTAAGCATTGCGATGATGGCCTGTGTCATCATCACCAAATCGATCGGCTTTTTATCATTCGAACGTATATTGGGCTCATGTTGATATGAATAGACTTTTCGGAACCTTCTTTTTGTTTTGATGTTCATTATTCGATTTGAGGCTCTTGCCAATTTGATTTGAAACTCTCAATTTCAAATTGAGAGTAGCATTTGATTCAATTTCATCCTATTTTCTTCTTTCGAAACATTTAAATTCAAATTGTTTTCCATATGATCTGAATCGTTTCGAAATTTTCAGTCATTTTTTTTAGTCAGGTTAAACTTTCGACCTAGTCATTTCGAACTCTTCCAATTCGATCTTTTGAATCGAAAAGAAATCTTTCTGAGATTTTTATGGATTTAAATGTTGAATTGCTTGTGCATTTGAATCTCAAATATGATTTATGCCGGGTGTCAACTATATGCAATCATCGGTTTCAAAAGCGAACAGCCATGCTACGAATATCAAACTGATTTTCGTTTGCTTCGATTTCGTTTGAGAAATTAGATTTTCACTTTGGACTTGGTGTTCAAACACTTTGGCTTTTTGCCCATTACGCGCTCACGTTGCTGCAAGCATGAAATGGATGTTGGAATATTCGTTGACCAACTGAAGGCGCGGCATCAACCGGCTTGTGATGTTCGTGCAGTATTGAGTCTTCCAAAATCCAGACTATTCGTGTCTTTTTCTTAGTGTATTCAGGGATAGAAAACTGAAAAATTGCACAAATACCAGCCGTATAATCGCTGGGAAATGCTTTTCTTCATGCCTATATTTCGTTTAATTGCATTGTTGCTTCACATCAATCTGTTTCTATCTGTCTCTGCATTCTCTTCATGTTCTGCATCTTCTGTACCTTTGCATCTTTGCATCTTTGCATCTCTGAGTCTCTGCGTCTCTATTTCACTACACTACGCTTCTGCTTCTGTACTCTTCCACTCTTCTGCTTCCCGATGTTTTTTCTACTTCTTCAATTCTACACTTTTCTAATTTCTCTCCCTTCAATCACTTATCGTCGTCGAGTTCCGTCCGATAGCAAACAAATTATATCAAAAATCCAGACTATTTACTATGTTGAAACACCGACAATTGGATTTGTCAACAACAATAGCAACATCGACGACGGCGGTCACAGCAGCAGCCGCAGCAGAGGCGAAATTGATATAGGGGCATAGAAGCGGCATTTATAGGCATACAATTTGCGTGATCGGTCGAGTGTATATATATAAACATTTGAGAAATATGTACGGAGTGCGCGCGAGCGCGTGTGTGCGTTTGGCCCGAAACTGCCCCAATGAGCCAAACACGTGCAATTATTGTGCATAGTAGATTTATTCCCAAATCGTGCACAATTCTTACACATATTGTGCCCAGAAACAAAATTTTATCTAAATTGGTCCAAAAATTGCACAGTTTTTGCACTTTTAGTGCTACATTTAGCATTACATTGAAATATGCACAAAATTCAAACATTTAGCATTACATGTGTTCATTGGGTGGTGTAAACAAGATAATTAATTTTATTTATTTCAAGTGAGCGAGCGAGAGAGCGAGAGTGTGAGAGTGAGCTCGAACCAAATATAAATAAATAAAGTATCAAGTTGAATACACGGTCTTGAGTGTTTGACGGTGTTGTGGTTTGAATATCGGAATCTGGTGAAATAATCAGCCGAAAAAAGCTTTGAAACAGAATGCGTTTTGTATATGCGCTTTTTGGACGTATTCTCAATCAGTCACATTTTGCTCTCCTGCAATCTGTCTCGAGCAAGTCAAAATTCAATCAAAAATACATAAATTTTTGCACCCGTTCGTTCTGCGCATTGGTTTGTCTTTGGTTTTCCTCTCTTTCGATTTTTCAGATCAATTCACTCTCTCAATATCTCCATCTTTTTCCCTCTTTTTTGCTCTTTCTTTCTCGCTCTCTCCTCCTTCTCCTCACCCCCTTTCCCCCCCCCCCCCCCCCTCTCTCTCTCTCTCCCTCTGTCTGTCTCTCCTCCATTTCCCTCTCTTTTTCCCTATCACTCGACTCCTTTGCTCTTTTCCAATGTTTCATTTGCCGGCCGCCAAGCATTGATCATCGCACTCTCACTGCTCATTCACACATTGGAACGTTTTGCGACCTAATGTCGAATGTTGATTCTTGAAACTTGATATACGCGCCAAAACACAAAAGCAAATTTCATTTAAATTTCTAATTCAAAATCAATATTCGGAATTGGATGCCGCGCCATGCTCTGCTAGTCACTCAAATCGAATTCGATTTTGTTTTCGGTCGAGAAAGAAAGAAAAACATATAAATAAACTGGATAGAGTGAATTGTTGTGTACGAGTGTTTGTGTCTGACTACTTGAAAGTCGTAAGATATTTATTTTGTCATTTGATTCGGGTTTGTTGTCGTTTCAGCCATAAATAGCTATGTAATCTGAATTTATCTTCTTTTCCATTCAGGTTTATAACACCCGAAGCAAACGTTCACCACACAATTTAGATGTGTGTTTTGATTTAAAAACAAGAAACGTCTTTGTCCCGGCTCGCCTCTTTTCAATCACCGTCAAAATACTTTGTTTTCTCTGCTGCTGCAAAAAAAATCGCAAACTTGAATTGTTTTTTTCTCCAAAAAAAGGCAATCTTCTTAATAAAAAGAAGAGATAATTGTTTTCCTCTTCCCAGAACTAATTTTTTTTTCTTCTAAACAACACATTACCGGCTGTGATTCATCGACTGATGTGAGATGATCATTTGGGCGACATCCAAATGCGATCAATTCGTTTTTTTTTTTATTCTCTCCAAGTGGAAGAAAACACTACTTGTGAACGTTTTTTATCGACATGTCATTAGAAAATGAAACAACTGGTTCTGCTATAGGTATATCATACAAATAAAATGATGAAATTTATCGACAAAAATTGTTCAGCCAAAAAGAAACGACACCGAAGAAAATAATATGCATAAACGCACAAAACAATAACAATAAAATAACGTTGCCGTACTGAAATGAAATTCGAACCGAAAAAAAAACGACGACAAAATGTTTATGGTTCATCAGCCAATACAAGCGGCGTTTGAACTTGAATAGAGCGAATGAAACGAAAATGGGTGCTAATTCACGTGTTGGATGCGTGATCTGCGACTTGTATGCTTGCTATCCAAATAAGAACAACCCAAACAATTAAAGGCCGATCGCGCGCGTGTGTGTGTGCAGTGCACGCACCATCATGATGACCGTTTTGAGTTCGATCGAAGAAAACAAAATGCGGCTATGGTGCAAACCACATCGGTGAAAAAACCCATCGGCATTTGTCAACGGTGTATCAAAATTCATGAATATTTCTCTTTATTTTCTGTTATCCATTTAAAACAATTAAAAATACGTCTCAATTCATTTCGATGTATTTTTTCTATAAATAAAATTAGCAATAAAATCCGAGCAACATGTGTGACTATAGATGAAAATCATACTCGAATTTCCACTTTGAATGAACTTTTTTTTGGTTTACTCAAATCATTATCACTGTCATCCGAATCAGTTTCAACCGTTTGTTTTTGGGAAAAAAATGTTTCTCAACAAATGATTTTCGGTTAATGCACCCATTTGACACGTCGAAATGAAATTTTTTGAACATTTTTCATCATCAGTTCAAAGACTTCGTATGAATTTCGCCTTCAGTTCAGATGACAATGTCATTGCACTTGCATCGAGTGGAAAATTCATTTGCCTTGATTTACTTTTATTCGCTTCATTTTAAAATGAATGGTTTTGGCTTTGGAACGGCTTTTCGGTTGTTTCTTAATTCACAGACAATAAAAAAAATGAATTTATAAAAATAAATTAGAAGAAAGAATTTGTTTTTTTTTTCAATCACAAAGATTCTAGTGGAATCGACCCACTGCATATTCTTCGCCGAAGAATCTTCGAAAGAGTGCATCGCCGAATTGCCGATTCGACGATGCACTGCGTAATATAAAGAATGGAAAAAACAGTACACCGCATCTATCATGTACAGATTTTGCATTTTTCTCATTGGCTTGTTTATTCACACCCAAGAGAGATATAAACAACATAATAAAAATAAATGTACATAACACACCTGTGCACAACACACAAGACCGCAAATTCCTTCACTGAACTTCCTATTGATATATGAAACAACGAAGTGAGAAAAAGAAGATAGCAAATGAAAAGAACATTAAAAAAAGCAGTAAAATGTGCAAAAAACAATAACTTATTGTCTTACTGAGAGAATTCAAACGGTGTTAAAATGCTGAGAGCTTTGGTCAGCCGTGTGGAATATCGTCATCGCTTTCTCTCTGTTTTTCTCTTTATATTTTGGTCTCTTTTTCATTCTTCCAATCTACTTCTGCTTGCCTCTTGCCTTTTTGCCTTTGATTTTGCCTTTGACTTTGCCTTTGCCTTTGCCTTTGCCTTTGCCTTTGCCTTTGTTTTTGCCTTTGGCTTTGATTTTTTTCTTTGCCTGTTCTTTTCGCCCACTCTCTCTCTCTCTCTCTCTCTCTCTCTCTCTCTCTCTCTCAACACTTTCAATTGCGAAGAATTTCGTTCCCAAAGAATTTCCTTTACCCAAGAAGACGTAGTAAAATTTCGGCGATCAATTACATTTTTTTATTGCAAACAATTCAAATCCCTCAGAATGGTGTAAATATACGATATTCTTGTTGGCCCATATCCATATCAATAAATTAATCGAGTGCTCTCTGTCGATACTTTGCAAACACCGACTCGTACAAACAGTCAGAGCGTTGTATCGAAATCAGGATCCAATCGCCTCCACCGCCATACATAGCGTGCGATCGTAATCGACATTAAAAATAATTACCATGGGATTAGCAGCGTCAAGAAGCGATGGCAAACAAGTGGAAACAGCATTTGGATTGATAGATTCTCAAGCGGCATTTCATTTTGTTTTCGCTGAGTTTCTTCTCGAATCCAATAAAGTTTCTATCAAGTTAGGTTTTTGATAAATTTGGTCAAAACAGCGAGAAAAAAACCTGTGTGTTTTTTTTCTATGTTCTCGTGTCCAATTTTCGATGGTTCAATCTTGGTTAATTTATGAATATATGAGTTTACGTTGGTGACACAAGCCACCAATTGGCCTACGCCTAAACAGAACCGAAACTGTATTGTATTTCAGTTAATCAATAGAAAAAAAAAGTATCGTTGCTGGTTATTATGTGTCTCTTGAATCTCTGTTTCGTTCGCATGTGTTGCGGCCGTTGATGCTGTTATTTAAACAGCACAGCACACTGCTCGAATATGTATGAATTTTATTGCCGCACGTGTGACCGTGTTTCTAATGCAACATTCAATAATTTAATTTGTACTTATTCTATCTCACTCTCATTCTCTCTCCCTCTCCCACTCTTGCTCTCCGTCCTTATAGTTTCTGTCTATTTTCAATCATTATTATCTCAGTAGCTCACGATGCTCATCCAAACGATACACGCCGATAGTGCTGGTTGCCTGTTTAGATAGTTCGGTGTTTGGTGGCGGAGATTCTAATTGCACAATGACTCTATAAAATCCAAGTGAAATTGGATTGACGGCGAAATGGTGGCGAGCGCGCGCGCGCTTACGCTCATGTGTTTGTGTGTAATTCGCGCAAATTTGCATGTTGTACACAGAATTCTAATGTATATCGGCTTAAATTGAATTCAGAAAACGAGCAAAGCGAAAGACAACAAGAGAGATAGAAAAAAAGCGGTTTAAGTTGTTTACTTTTTAGTTTGTAACTTTTCAGGGCACCGCTCGCTCACGCTCACACACTCACTCTCGATTATTTGTTCTTTATTTTTCGCTATTTTTTTGTTTCGACTGCTGCTTGTTCGCGAGCTGTTTTTACACATCGTATTTTCTATATGCATATTATGTATATTTGATTGTTTATTTAGTATGCACATTAAAAATGCACACATCTCACATATTTGCCGCACTATCTGACTGAATGTGGCGAACGCAACGCGCACAACACACATCGACTGATGCATGAATCGCCCGACGTCTATCTTATGAAAATAATATCTCCGTAATTGAATTCGATACAATTGTTTTGATGTTAATTTCTCGCTTGTCACTAGTTGTTGTTGTAGTTGTTGCTACTGCTGATGTTGCTGAAGTTATTGCTGTTGTTGTTGAGTAGAGTGTGTGCATAAATTGTGTGCTCACACAAATGGGGAACCAACTAACAAAACAATTGGAATAACTCTTAATGGCTTGGCATTCTCCATTTTCGCTCTTTTTTCTATTTTTCATTTCAAATCGGACTCCGCTCACAACAGATTGATTAGCTCTACGACTCGTATCTCCTAAATGAAGTTCCATCTATCTCGTTGTTCCTTGTTTCTACTTTGTTACCCTTGTTTCGAGCAATCGAACTCAAATTTCCCTGAAAATTCCCATTCAGTGACACTGATAGTATCAGTCTGATACAGTCTTGAAAATGATTTCGAAACTATCTTTTTAAAAAATAATCTCAAATGCTTTTTGCGGAGCCTTTCAAAAAGACTAAAGTTCTTCCAAAGTTCAAACAGACTCAAGGGTTCTGTTGGTGATGACGACATCTTATGATGTTGTATACATCTTCATCAGAAGAAGCCGATCGGTGAACAATAAAATCTCAAAATGAAAATGAATATATCGAAAGTTGTGTGGTGGAATTCCGCGGGCATTGTGCGTAACTGACTCAATTATTGTATTTTTAGCCAAACCATTTGCTCTGACGTACCACTTGCTGTTGTAGCACTGCGAATTTATTTAACATCATGCAAAATCATTTATTCTTCATTATCATATGCAGACACTGTGCAATGATTTCTTTATGAATATTAATGATATTGCGTCTGTCCGTGTTACGCGCCACGTTTTTTTTAGCGATGCTATTTCCAGTTGCATTCTGTGAGTTTTGCCTCACGCGCTCATCTTGAATTTCTCGCATTCTGACAATTGAGCGCGCATCCCTCGCTCTCATGACATGCGCGTCCGACAATCGACCGCCTCGGCTGCTTCGTTCATTGCATTTGTTTGGTGGAATTTTAACTCAGACATCAGAAATGTGCTTAGATAAGTTATTTTTGTGGGTTGTCGTTGGTTGAGAGAGTCTCTCAATGAGATACTCTCTTCGTTTTTCAGTTTAATCGAGTTAACAGTGTTAACTTAACACTTGGAATTTGAATCCGATTCAAACGATGGCAAATAATAAGGAAATAAACGATTAAAGAGAATGATCACAGCTTTTGTTGTTGAAGATGAGTCAATTTTTATCACTAAGTGTGCTGATCTATGTGTTATTTAGTTGAACAAAGCAATTTTCTCATTGATTTCGTTCATTTTGTTTGGGGTTTTGACAAATTTTCAAACTTTTATTTCGTTTTCCTTCAATTTCAGTACGGGCTGAAGCAGCATTTTATGGATCAAATTGAGCTGGACCATGTCACACAGGTCATCGGCTATCATCCGAGTTATTTAGAACATTTCTTAAAGATACAAACGTTCATTATGCAAGGTGATGGACCATTACCATATGATTATCGACATTATTTGGCCATTATTGTGAGTATACACTTTTTATTTATTTTATTTTACTTCATATTCAATACAATTTTCTATTTTAAACAAACCCATAAAGAAAAAAAAAGAGATCGACCATCGCTAGTATAGTGCATAAGACCAAATGCACCCATTCATTTTTCATTGCTTTCAAATTACGCGCGATTTTTTTTTACATAAGTCTTAATGGGAAATTCCCATTGGGAATGGATTCGTTTAGTATCTGGTGCCCATTGACACAATACTGGCGATTCTCGAAATAGATTTAATGATTGTTTGGAGTTAAAAGAAGCAAAATTTGGAATCTAAAACATAATTTATCCAAGGAAGAGTTCAAATTTACCGCATTTCGTTCCGTTTCTAATTCGTTGTTTCAATTTTAGGCTGCGGCACGTCATCAATGTACATATTTAGTGAATTTACACAAGAAGGAGTTCCTCGAACAGCACGGTGATCCAAATTGGTTGAAGGGCCTCGAATACATCCCAGCCAAATTACGTGCCATTTATGATATCAACAAAATTCTCGCACACCGGCCATGGCTTTTGAACAAAGAGCACATTGAGGTTTGTCATTCCATCGCTTCTATTACGAAAAAGATAAACATTTTTTTTGTCTGGTTTTGATCAAAATGTTATATGTTCAACAAATTTATGATGGAAGCAAAACCAAAACCGACTAATATTTATTCAATGTTATTTGTATCATTTCAAAACAGCGTTTAAAAACCGGACCAAACAGTTGGTCGCTATCGGAAGTAGTGCATGCTATAGTTCTACTGTCACATTTTCACTCATTATCGTCATTTGTGTTTTCATGCGGTTTGACACAAGAGTTGGACCCATTGTCTAGTCAAAAATACAATAAAGTCATTAAGAAAGATAGCGGCAACTCATCACCGCCGGGCCGTTGGGGCTTTGGATTCCGTTCCAATTCAAATGCATCGATTTTGGGTGCGTATTTCTTTTGGACTCGACTTTTTTTTGCTTATTTTTTTGTTCATTTTGTGCAAATTCATAACTCCTCAATGAACACGAATTTTCCATTTCAGGTCGACAAGAAGTGAGTGTTGATGCTTTGATGCAACGCATGCGCACACTTTCACAGAAGCAGGACGAATGCAGCGAAACTGAGCTGAACGCTCGCTTCAAAACCGTCGAAATGCAGGTCAGTTAAAGACATTTTTTGCAAATTTTTATGTCTTTTTTTTTACAACAAAATGCGTTACTGTGGTCCTTTTTGTCTAGCGATTGAAATCATTTTAAGATGGAAAATCATCCATGAATCAATTGTTTTATGTAATTCAATTCAATAACCTTGAAAAATTTCCCTATCCTTCTCTCTCTCTCTCTCACTCTCCATAGGCCCACGAATTAGTTGAATCCAACAAAGAGCCAATCGTTGAAATCTCGGAAAATATCAATCATTTCATCGAAGATCCATTGTTTACATATCAAGATTTTACACGGCGCGGTGCCGAAAATGTGCCAAGTACATTCCGTGTACAAGACTATTCGTGGGACGATCATGGTTTTTCATTAGTGAATAGCTTGTACAACGATGTGGGCCATTTACTTGATGACAAATTTCGAAGTGCCTACAATTTAACCTATTTTACAATGGCCGACAAAACCAATGTGGACACATCGAAATTTCGTCGTGCCATTTGGAATTACATTCAGTGCATCTACGGAATTCGACACGATGACTATGACTATGGTGAAGTGAATCAGGTGGGTTTTTAACGCAATTGACAATCATAATGAAGAAAATGTGGAATAAATTTCGTTTGAATTTTGTGAGTTGAAAAAAAGTGAAGAAAAAAACTATTCGACTTGAAAAAACAAATCTTTTCAAGAAAGAAAAAAAAAAAAAAAAACATCAAATAAAGTCGTGGTTGTATTCCGATTTTAGGCTAAAGGTCTAATTTCAAGAAAAAAAAAGAAATTTCTCCAAAAATATAAAATTTACCAAATATTAAAAAAAAAAAATCCAATTACAACCAAAACTCGTCAAATTCAATAAAAATCCTGATAAAAAATGTAATTTTTCTTCTTCTAAGCAGTTGCTGGAGCGATCATTGAAAATGTTCATAAAGACGGCGTGCTGTTTTCCCGAGCGTATAACGAAAAAAGATTACGATAGTATTTTAACTGAGCTGAAGCACAGCGAAAAGGTGAGCAAACAATTGATTGCCTATCTATCTATCTCCCTCTCGGCTCAATACTGTCATTATAAAATGGCAAACAATAACAAAACGTGTTTTGTTCATCTAATTTCAGGTTCACGTAAATCTAATGATACTCGAAGCGCGAAATCAAGCCGAACTGTTGTATGCATTGCGTGAAATTATGAGATACATGACATGATTATAATGGCCCCGTCAGCTGCTTTGAATTGATCCCATTTATATATATACACATAAAATTATAACCGATTTTAAATTCGTAGTAGAGATTGTAAAAGTGTTTTCTTTAGAGACTTGTTATGTGTCGTCGACGTCGTCAGGGAATCTATTTAGAAAAGATGATCTATTGTTTTCCATGCAGACTTGATATCAGCCAACATACAACCGGTTTCATTCTTTCTAATACTTTTTTTTACTGAACAAATGGAGATTTCTTGTATTCGGCTCGAAATGAAGTCTAACTAGATGTAAATGTGGATGATTATGGCAAGGAAAATTGTATGCAAAGTAAATGAAATCAATTTTAATTTCAAAACTAAATTTTTAACAAACGTCATCTCTTAATCAATATCTGTTGGTTCGCCAAGAAAATGCCTAGAAAAAAATTGTAAAATTTCCTTTCTTTTTTTTGTCTCTATTTTAAACTCATTTATAAAATATGTTAATTGTCATCTCTTTATTTCTATATGATACGCATCAACTGTGACCAACTAAATCACCAAAATTGTCAGTTATAAAAACGAATGTTAAAATATAAACGACCGATTCATTCATTGAAGAAGAATACAAAAAATTCAACTCGATTTTGTTATCACATACAATTTTTTTAAATGAACGAAATTTATTCTCAATTTATTTACGTACGTTTTTATCTTTCATTTGCTTTTGTTCATGTAATTTAGATTTTCGTTATTATCTTTTTTTGTTTCCTCTTATTTTTCTGTACGTCAACTTTTGCAAACGCGATCGCTAACGTGTTCGAACGATTTAATCAAATGCATACATTTTATATATTTTTTTTTTAAATCAAAATGATTACTGCAATAATGTTCCACATTAACACATAACAAATATATATACTTTAAATATCTATATCTATACATATATATATATTTTTTAAATGAGTCATAGGTCTATACGTATATACAATCACAAATTATTACAACAACAAAATATATACACATCAAAATAAAATTAAGCAAAGAAAATGAACCAAAAAAAAACAAACAAACAAATGATCAATGAGCGAAAGAAAATACAAGAAAATCAATTGAATTGACGTCTAAATGGAGTTTTATTTCGATAAAAACATTTCTGTATTTTATTCGAAAAACATTTGTGGAGAAATACTGGAAGACAATGATTGAGAGTAAATGCATTTATGGGTAAGTACGTATGTATCATAAAAAAAAAAATTGAAAACGCAAGATTTCGACCGGATGGACGAGATACAATCGCAATTTTTGACTAAATTTTAAATTATCTCCAATAAGTTCAGGGATGAAGTCGTTATTCTTGTCGAATTCCACTCGGGATGAGTAGTATAGATATGAGCAAGAATTCTGACTGGAAGGTTACATTCGCACGATTTTCCGAAATATTTATGCTCATATCTCCTCTATTAGTCTAGAAAGCACCTAAAGTTTTATGCTGAGGCAAATCTAGGCCACAAAACGAACATTTCGTACCAACAAACCTTTTCTTTATCTTTCACACCCATTGAGATATAGCCATTTTTTTGTTGGATTGGAAGGTTACAATTTTGGCGATGTGTTTGGAGGTTGTTTTACATTTATCTGAAACCCAGTTCCTCCAGCAGAGCATCCTTATACTCTAAAGGTCTGTTCGATGTCTGAAGGATCAAAGAAATGAACCAAATCATAATTACCCCATAAAAATCATTTGGGGTCACTCTATGAGGGGACTGAAAATTTGCAGACTGGAAGGTTACAGAAAAAAGACTGCCTCGTTACACCGAATTCCTCAGGCTAAATAAGTCAAATATCACATTTGAATTTGATTTAAATCAGTTGATAATAAATAGAAATACGAGAATTTATCATGATTTTTAGTTTTGAATCGATTTGTAATAGAAATTTGTCATAAATGACTCCACATTCTCCCATAAAAAAAGGACTGGAAGGTTACACTTGAAAGACTGGATCGTTACATAGTGCATCGACGACTAAAATAAATGCAATAATACACTCCAAATTGATTCAAATGGGTAGAACAAGAATAGGAATGTTATCATTCTTTGTGGTGTTTAGTTTTGGTTTGGTTTACAAAGAAAAAACCTGTCATCAAATGATCTCAATTTTTTCAATGTAACAAAGACTGGCTCGTTACACATGTCTGAAGGCTCGTATAAGTGTTTTAGTCAAATAAAGTAACTAATATTTTTTATTTTCCAGAAAATAGGCAGAAAGTTCTTAAAAAACTAATGTAGCGTCATTATTCTTGATAAAGGTGTACATGAAAAAAAAACTTTCGGGAATTTTAGACTGGAAGGTTACATTCGAATTTGCGGCACCTTTCAATGCCTTCAAATGCACATGAAAGAGATGTATTCATTGCAAAATTTGACTTTTTTGTTCGGATGTGTATTTTCGCTCATTTTGACACAAAACGAGGCACAAGCACAACCACGATGAAATGGCACATTATAAACGCCTACCTTCATATGATAATGGTATTGGCCGATACTTTAGGATCACTATTAAAGAAAAAAGACCACAGGACCGCGATATTTGAAGAAAAAAATTTTTTCATCCATTCCCGGTTAAAGAATTCTTGCTCATATGTATATTTCGTCCAACCATAGGCAACAGAGGTTTCATTTTCATATAAATGCGCGCGGGGACAAGAGGAAAGAAATCTATCACGCATGCGCGAGGGGAAAAGACATTTCCCCACATTTGCATCTGAATGAAAATGAATTTTCTCCACCACATATGACCGAACGAAACATACATATCTATTTATGCGAGTGAGTGAGTGAGTGAGTGAGTGTATCATCCGACTAAAAATTGGAACGGTGATAGCTTTTTCTTGTTTTTTTTTTGTATGAGTTTCCGTTCAAATTTTCACATACCAAGCAAAGCAAAAAAGAAAATCACAACATAAGGCAATCAAAAGCTTAATTGACACGTTTAAGTCAGCAACGGAAACACAGTGACACATGTGAAACACTGAATACTTGGATTTTGCAATAACAAACAATCGAGCTATATCGTATAGCTATACGTGGTGAAATGTAATGAAAAAATGATTTCTATGGCATTTTTTTTCCAAAAGTGTTTGCTGACATTTTTGTCCTATGAACTGTCCCGGTTTTAAAATCAAGTTTTCCTAAGTCTCCCTTAAATTTCCTACAAATAAAGCGTCGATACCGAATATTTAGTTTTCAAATTGGATTGATCATTTATGAAGCCAACGGAACAAGAGAAAGAATGGTGATGATTGTGATGCGGAATCGACTGAAGGCAACTCCGAAATGATTGATATGAAGAAATTTCTGGAAAAATGCATGATTAAATTGCACAATGTTGAAATTGCTGCTACAAAGACAATCTCAAACAAATTGAATGAGATTGAAAATACACAAAAAATAACGTTAGCAAAATTGCAATCAAATGGCCATACATTAGAAGCAATCAACACCAAATTTGATAGTAATGCCACATCAATTGACGATGGGATGCAAAAAAGCTTCATCATTCTTGGCTTGGATTACCTTTATTATGATAAAAACTTGAGAATTGCAGCCAAAAACTAAATGATTTCATGTTTAATAGCGACGAAATGAGTGCACGAAATTTTCTTAGAAATTGTCCTTGACAAACAGAGACAAACAAATAACATTGATTTTCTAAAGAAATGGCAATTGCCATTATGATTGAGATACTTAGAAGAGTTTTCTTTTCACTTTTTCGGAATTTTTCTATCGGTTCATTTGCTTTTATCACACTAAAAAAATATATTCTTTGAATTTCGTCTTTGGGCTCAGAAGATTTTGTCATAGAATTCCAAGTGATTTCATACTGTAAATTTGTTGCTTGAAAATGGAAACACATTTGCTGCTGTGTGTTTGTTGTTAGACACCGAATCGTTTTGTGTGCGAAAGAATACACATCATTGCCTCTCTTTCTATTCAACGAATACATGTATTGACAGGCATTCAAAAATTCATCGGTTTTATGCGTGCTCGATTTTTTTTGTTAGAATTTGATGGTTTACTCACGGTTTTAAAATTGTATTCATGAAGTATTAAAACGAATCTTTTCAGAAAAGTAACGAAAATATTCATTGGAATTATTAAACATTTTTGTACTAATTTTTTGATTTCAAAAATATTTCAATCAACCAGTATAAATAAATTTTGATTGTTTGTGTTTGTGCTCGATTTGGTGGTTTATGTTTTGTGCAATGGATTTTTCGAATGGCCAATATCAATTGAAATAATTGATATTGCCCATTGCGATGAAATGATCGGATGATAATTTAGCATACCTTTCCTTTTTTAAGTCTCTTAAATGACAGCCGTCGAAAGAATTGTTTACTTGGTTTTGGTACATCAACCTGATCAACCTGATCTGATTACTCTTCGATACTATTTACGGTACCATTTGACTTTTGATGTGAGAGTCATCGTCGTGAGAATTCCGTTTCAAAATGCTCTGAAAAGCCGATCGGCGGTAATGATGTGTATTGGAATGTTGTGCTTATAGATAATAATAGACTTGAATAATCAAGACTGTTGTTTTGTTGATTTTTTTTTGTTCCAAGCGAACAGTACTTTATTGGAGTCATTGATATACCTATTTCAACAATTAAATTTTTTTTTCGGAAAAGAACAATGATCACAATTAAATTTCAATTAGCCACACTATGTAATAATAACAACTCTTCATACCTCGAGCATGCTTTTGTATCTTTGCTAAAAATGGTTCTGTACTGAGCTGAAAAAACTTAGCTAACAATTTAAAATACATTGCGCCGCGCAAGCCATCTAGGTGGCGTCACAAGAAAATTTGGTTCTACAAGGTTTACGCTCAAGATATGCAACTCTTACCATCAGGGGTCTTAAATTGTATAAAATTCTTTTTTGCTGGTCGATACTCATGTCAGGAGATATAATGTACATTGTTTTAAGCTTTGGGAAATTTGTTTCTATATTGGCTGCACTAATATTTTGCCTTGGATTTAGATTTATCGATAACCACAACAAATTTTCGAAATGTGAAATATTGTTGAAATTAATTAATTCGATGGCATTTCCTATCATATCTAAAGAGTTTAAGTTGCTCAATGGTGGTAAATGTGCTAAATCGGTTAAATTATTATTATTTATTTGCAAATCCCGTAATACACTTTCGGTATGAGCTGTGATTGAATTTATTTTATTGAACTGTGCATGAATAATTTTAACATTTTTTGGAATATTTAGTTGAATAAACCCACAATTGGATAATTCTAATATATCAATAATCGTTCGATTTTCAGGAAATAAATCAATGCTACTTAAGTAACGCAGGGCCGTAGCCAGGATTTTTCCTAGGAAAGTGTGGTTCCACTTTA